CCTAGTTTAAGAAATAGTTCATACGTAGAGAATGCTCGTGTATCGAATCTTCTGAGATATTTTCCCCGTATAAAGGTGATGAAGGTATATTGCTGCATAAGTAGGGGAAGTTGATGTTAGAAAAGTTAAAGTCATTACGTTTATCATTAAGCTTAGTTGCTAGATTGCCATTAACTTCTTTTTTTTTTCAAGTAAAATATCCAGGTATGAAACAGATGTGTCAGACTCTGTGGTATCTTTTATTTCAAGCTCATCAGGATATATCGTATCGACGTAGCAATGGAAATTACTATTGTTAATTGACAATACGTCGTCGATATATCTAAATGTCGAGTGGAAGGCGAAATTAAGTGTTTTGTTTTTTTTCACGTATAGGATTTTCACAAAGTCATCTTCATATGAATATTAAAATAGGTCTGCAATTAACGGAGCGCAATTGGTACCCATGGGAATTCCGTTAGATTGTTAGAATATCCGATCTACCAAAAACCATAGATATTGTCAATCAGAAACTCAAGCATCTTCTTGATGTGAACTTCAAAGTACTTGTGTGCAATCAGAATGCACTCAAATCTAGACATGGGGCACTTTTTAAAACAATTGAGGCATTAGCTACTGGTAAAAGGCCACCAATATCCTAGTTAATTAAAAGTTGCTTGTTTACAATAAATGTAGGGCATCTGTCAATTAAATCAGTTTTCTGTAATTATCAAGAAAGTAATCTTTTTCTTTGTTTTTCTGTAACATATGATAAAATTGGTATGACAGTTAAAAAGACAAGTACTGTTAAATTCTTAACTGACATTATTTTATTGAACACAATATTATACACTGGCATAACGTTATAAACAACGACCAAAAACATGACATAAACTTTATAAAGCATTAGCATGCCATACCATTTTTAAATTACAACTTAACACAACCTCTATTGAGCCTTTGGATAAGTAACACATACATATCGGTTCAATTTACAGAAAACAATGAAACATAAGCAGCACTATAAACCTAGAATCATATCACAGCCGTGCAGCACACAGTCACATTATGGAGATAAATCAGATTAAGGTAAATATATGTCTCAAGATCAGACACACCAAAAAAGATCACATTTCTTACCTCGTGGAGTACGCTGTGCACCAGTTCTTACGCTCAAGGAATCTATAACAGATTAAAACTGTAAATAGTATCAATTTTCAGTTTAAAAAAGGCCCGTGTAATCAGTGCTGCATATCTAAACTACATACCAAAGAAATTCATTTTATTAAGTTTAAAGACACATAAAATTAATACTTGTATATAATATTAACATATTGTAAAACAGTCATTTTTTTACAGATTTATTCGGATATACTGCTTGTATGTACTTGTATATACTTATGTGTAAATGTTCAACACTAAAAATTCATTTATTATTGGACAACACTTAAAAAAAGAACCTCCTGTACCGTACCCGATAAAACGTCAATTTTATAGTTCTAGCTAAAAAATTAACAACTAAAACTGTCAGTTTTGGTATGCACATAGAATAAATAAACAACATCACAAATTCAAAATTGATAATTTGGATGTAGTTGATGCATGAGAGATTTGATTGTTTAAGGTAGATAAAGATGAAGTTGTTTGGAAATCTGTCATTGTAGTTGATGAGATCGATGACGATGAATCATCTGACAAGGAAGATGACTATCAAGATGAAAACTGCTGATGTCACGTCTGACGTTAATGATGATGATGTGGATGTTTTCAATTTTAATTGATCTCTCAATTCTGACCCCACGCACTGATCACACGTAAAGAAATCGTCAGGGTCTTCTCTGAGTTTGAACTGGTACAAACGGTTGTAGTTAGTTCCCCAGAAGTTCGTCTGCCAGTTAGGAGTGGCCTGAGCTGCCTCGTTTGGATACATTCCATTACCAAACTTGGCGAATTTGATATTTCTTTCCATAGTCTTGTAGAAAATTTCCTCGATTTCTGGTATCCCAGGAAGTCCGAATCCCACACCGCCTCACATAGAAAGGAGAGCGCTTCTGAAACCAGGATGGACAGATGTGACTTCCGGTCTTATCGCACGCATTTTCCCTACAAAAATACAAATGCATAACAAGACCTACTGGTAAATAATTTACCCAGATCTCCTAATTGCTTCCTATTGTGCTATGGTTGCAACATAAACAAGAGGCCTAGGGGCCACATCGCTCATCTGAGCAAATCGGCTAGAAAAAAAAACGCTAATCAAATCAGAACTGAAAAGTTCATTAAAAGGTTTCCACATTACACATAAATACAGTGTATCACTAATCATGGCTTTGAAGTACTTGAGAAAACGATTTTAAAAGATTTCCCTATCTAGTACAATGTAGAACTTTTATCAGCCATTTTGCCCCGCACCCCCCCCCCCCCAAACACCAGGGGTCATAATTTGAACAAACTTGAATCTACACAACCTGAGGATGATTTCACTTTTAAACGTTTCATCTTTCCTGGCCCAGTGGTTCTTGAGAAGATTTTAAAGACTTTTCCTGTGTATTCCTATGTAAAACTTTGATTGGCATTTGTGGCTCCACCGTACCACCAGGGGTCATGATTTGAACATACTGGAATCCACATTACCTGAGGATGATTTCACATACGTTTCAGCTTTTCTGGCCCAGTGGTTCTTGAGAAGAAAATTTTGAAAGATTTTTCATATATAAACAAATGTAAAACTTTGATCGGCCATTTTGACCCCATCCTAATCCTAGAGATCATTATTTTAAAAAAAAACTTGAATCTACACTACCTGAGGATGCTTCCATATGAGTTTCAATTTTCCTGGCCCAGTAGTTCTTGAGAAGAAGTTTTTAAAAGATTTTCCCTATATACTCCTATTTAAAACATTGATCGGCCATTGTGGCCCCACCCTACCCCAAGGGGTCATGATTTGAACAAGCTTGAATCTGTACTGCCTGAGAATGCTTCCACATGAGTTTCATCCTTTCTGACCAGTTGGTTCTTTAGAAGAAGATTTTTGAAAAATGTCACTAATTTTTCACTAATTCATAATTATCGCCCCTTGGAAAAGGGCTTGGTCCTTTATTTGAACAAACTTGAATCTTCTCCACAAAAGGATACTTTGTGGCAAGTTTGCTAAAAATTGACCCAGTGGTTCTTGAGAAGAAGATGAAAATGTGAAACGTTTTCGCTGACGACGACAGATTTTGATTAAAAAAAAAAGCTCACTTGAACCTTCGGCTCAGGTGAGCTAAAAATGGGGTAACCATATGGATGGTTCGATCTTTCAATGTTATCAATAAATGCTACAGAATCAGTTCATAAAACTAACTGTTAACAATTAAACGATTGAGAAGTCCCAGTCAAGTAAATATTTTTTCTTTGAAATCATTAAGGATCTCTAAACTTGCCTCCAATTAAGGTAGCTGTATATACTGTGCCAGAATTCGGAGTAGGTTGGGTGAAAACAGTTTGTCTTATATAATCTCTAAAATTTCCTGTCAAATTAGAAGAAGGGATCAGAGAGTTATAAACGAAGGAAAAATAATACAGCTGGTCTTTTATTGTTTCTTCATATTCCAGAAAGGTTTGGTACTCTGTGACACTAAAATATCTCTCTGGTTGGTAGAAATCCTATGAGGCTTTCGAGGTATTTGTAAGATGCCGTTGTATTTGATCCCAAATGATTCAAAACAAAGGTCACGTGTCCTTTGGATGAGTACTCATCGGTATTGCCATCAAAGATTAAATATCCGCCCCATTCATTTGGTAAGTCATCAGTAAATAACTCTTTGATTTTATCAGTTACCTGTTCAAATACGTCCTCACCAAATACTGTATACATTGGATAAATTATTACTAGTTTCACGACTTTCTCTGGTGGCATATGGAGTTTGAATAATAATCTTGTGCTCACTCCAAATGTACCACCCCCTCCGCCGGCGATGGCCCAGAAGAATTCACTGTCACTAACGTTAGATGTGCTTCCGTTGTTGTAAATGGTATGCACGTAGCCTTTTGTCGCTGTGACGATTCTACTGTCTGCCATGATCATTTCGACCTCCAGTAAGTTATCAATAGCCATTCCATAGAATCGACAGATTGGACTGTGTCCCCCTCCTAAGGTGTATCCACCCATACCAACGGTGTGGGCACTGCCACCGACAATCACCCTCCCGTACTTGTCTACCTAAAAGGAAAACCAGAAAGAGGTAAGCCATCTTCTAAAAGACGTCCTCGAACATTATTGATATGTAGACATTAAAGTGTTACATGACACCTTTTGAGATAGCAAACGGTATTCACGATCAAAACTGTTAAGTCCATAAAACAATACAAAATAGGAGCAAAGCAAACAGGGACCTCCGAAACATTAGAGGTGGGATCAGGTGCCATTGAGTAGTGATCATCCCCTGCTGACCGGTCACACCCGCCGTGTGCTCCTTGTCATGATGATCGGAAAATAACGGAAATATCCGTCGTCAATTTAGTATAAAAATAATAGACTAACAATACCGGTAAGTATGAAAAAATGTCAGTCAGCATTTGACTCAATAATAAATTGTATTTTCTGATAAGGTCATTGTATCGACGAAAGAACTTACGAAAAGATGACTTTTATGATGAAGTAAATTCATTTGAAAATAGATTTATCCTGATTTCTTACTGCAATATGATGAAAAAGATGAAAATTACAACAGTTATTGACTTCTAAAAACTAAAAGCAAACTACTTTTGTAAACAAAGCAAAATTGTACCCTCGGAAACTAAAGGTGTCATTATGTTTTTCAAAAAAAAACCACATGAGAAATCAAAGATTACGAATCTCTCCTCGTCGAATGTTATCAGTGTTAGTAATGCAAATCTCACATCATTTTTTTTTATTTCGTGTGCACCCTGAGGTCAACATCCATCAATGTTGTCAAAGTAGGACATACAGTTTCTTTAGAATAAACCTGCTCCAAATACTTTAAGCTTGTCATAAATCAAGAAAATGTTAATTCAGCCCCAAATTTGAAGCACATGTACTTCCTTCGATGCATTTTCTATGCATTTTAATCATAACAAGCCATACAATAAAAAGGCTGATCCAAAATCGTATCCTGGTCTCTTATCTTGAAATTGATGGAGAGATCCAGCACCCTAAGCAGTCTCGTAGTGTTCATCTCCAAATAAATCGTCCACGCTAATTTGATTAAAGTATGACTAAATTCACGCTTCCGAAAATACAGGGCATATCAAGCATAAATTCGGATTTGTTTCATTCCTTGATGCATCACCCATGAAATTTAAGTTTGGTTCTGATCGGACCTATAATTACTTGGGGATGGACTTGCTCCATAAACTTTTACCTGGTCCCTCAACTGAAAAAAATATCGGTCAGATCCAGCATCCCAAGAAAGTCTGATAATGCCCATCCCTAGATGCATCATCCATGCAAGTTTGGTCTGGGTAGGGCTTATAGTTACTTGGGAATATTTCTGTACCAAAATCTTTAACCTGATGACTCAGCTGGAAAATCAAGGCCAGATCCAGCATCTGGAAGCAAGTCTTGTAGTGCCTGTCAATAGATGGATCCTCAGTGAAATTTTGGTCAATGCAGGGCTTATAAATGTTGTTACTTGGGAATTGATCTGCTCCAAAAACTTCATCTGATCACTCATCTGGTAGTACATATCCCTAGAAATATCATCTATTTAAGTTTTGTTCAGGTAGGGTTTGTACATGTATTTCCTTTGGAATGGACCTGCTCCAAGAACTTTAACCTGATCATTCATCTGGAAAATATGTCAGATCTAAGACCTTTAACCAGGACACCGAAGTTAACTGCGACACTGACGCCGGGGGTATAGGATAAGTTCATCTCGATTTTGTCGAGGTAAACTAATAAATAGAAAAGTGTAGATTATAACACCATTTCTCTACAGGAGAATAATTAATCCGGACACAAATTCTTAATACGTCTCTTTATATATTATACTTCTTTTCTGTAGAAACTCCTGTTTGCTTATATTTAGAAATTTGAATTTTACGTATTACTCTTTAGACATTAATTCTACTCACTTCTCTGTAGACATCAATCCACTGGTTTCCAGGTCCCACGGTTATCGTTCCGTTTTCATGTCTCCAGGAATCTAGATCCACTTTTCTGCTCCTCATCAAACTCAGATTTATCTAAATGCAAAACATTATTGATTAAAAATTTATATACATAATTTAGGAATTTTTAATTTTAAAACATTTAAATCAAAACCTGTAATGTGCCATTTCCCGTAGAACGACCATTGAAGTCGTGTCCAGTTCCCAGAACAGTCAAGCGCAGATTATATTGTCTGGCGAAGGCGATGGTGTCTTTGACATCGTCACGTGACATAGCCATGACGTTAGTGTAGGTTTTATTGTCAGAAGGAAATACAACTGATCCATTAGGAAGGGAAGAAGCAACCGCGTGGATGACACTGATGCTTGGAAAACAGGAGTCTTCAGGATAGCAGAAAGGGGTCAAGGTTAAACAAAGGTCAGGGAGGACCAATAAAATGACCACAGATATGATAATCATTCTGAAAAAAAAGCGCATGAAAAGATTTTTTATTGAAAATGAAAAAAAGATTTTTAATTAGATATTGCAAATGCATTTCTTTCTTAAAATAATATTCCTATAGTTTTACAAACGAATTATTTTCAATAATCATAGAGAAGGATACTAAAAATATAAACGTATTATAATTAAACAAGCCATATAAATTTCTATTTCAAGATATGAAACTACTTTACTTGACCGGTCCCCAATAAAACGCGCTAAAATGTAGTGTGGCCCAAGGCGACTTCAGCATATACGAGATCACGTGAGCGATCGAAAAAAATTTAAATACGAGGGTTTTTGTTTTGCCTTTTGACCCCAAAATCGAATTTTACGGTTAAAAGTTTAAAACTGATGTTTAAACGTAGTTTTTCACCTCGTTCTCTGAAAATATTTAATTAATACATGTATTGTTTATTCAAGGAAAAAGTTGACAAAGATTCTGATCGAAGCGCGTGCAGTGCATGCTTAGTGTCATTTTTTTCGGACTTAGCCAATCTTCCATATAAAAAAAAACAAACGAAAGGCCTTTGAAGCTGAACTATGATCTTAGAAAAATACAGTAATATATATATATTTGGAAGATATGGACAACAGATGTTTTGCTGTGATAACAACAATAAATTACATGAATTTCAATTTACACCATGAAACAATCCTTCAAAAATCTAGAAAACATACATAAACAAAATAATGATGATTTTCTTATCTCAATTTTTTAAAATAATGTAATAAAGTCTGACCTCCACGCACTGCTCTTTTTTGTATGACGCATAAACAGATGAAGAGGAAGAATAATACGACGTACTGATAAACAAAAGTCAAAATCAAGTAATTGCCATATAAAAATCCCTGTAATCATATGTAGTAGAACATTCTCTGAAAGCATTCGAACACAACACAGTTCTTTCACATTTGTTCCGAAGAAATTCGCAGTCTTAAATAATACGACTCGGTTGTGTTGTTGACAGCGATTGACAGGAAGACACAGCTCACACAGTGACGCATATTCTCGATAAGGGTGTATTGTTATATATGTAGGTGATGAGGGTGTTTTGTTATATTTGTAAGTGATGAGGGTGTATTGTTTATATGTAGATGATGAGGGTGTAATGTTATATATGTAAGTGATGAGGAAGTATTGTTATATATGTAGATGATGAGGGTGTATTGTTATATATGTAGGTGATGAGGGTGTATTGTTATATATGTAGGTGATGAGGGTGTATTGTTATATTTGTAGGTGATGAGGGTGTATTGTTATATATGTAGGTGATGATGGTGTATTGTTATATATGTAGGTGATGAGGGTGTTTTGTTATATTTGTAGGTGATGAGGGTGTATTGTTTATATGTAGATGATGAGGGTGTAATGTTATATATGTAGGTGATGAGGGTGTATTGTTATATATGTAGATGATGAGGGTGTATTGTTATGTATGTAGATGATAAGGGTGTATTGTTATATATGTAGATGATGAAAGTGTATTGTTATATAAGTAAGTGATGAGGGTGTATTGTAATATATGTAGGTGATGAGGGTGTATTGTTATATATATAGATGATGAGGGTGTATTGTTATCTATGAAGATGATGAAGGTGTATTGTTATATATGTAGGTGATGAGGGTGTATTGTTATATATATAGATGATGAGGGTGTATTGTTATATATGTAGTGATGAGGGATTATTGTTATATATGTAGGTGATGAGGGTGTATTGTTATATATATAGATGATAAGGGTGTATTGTTATATATGTAGATGATAAGGGTGTATTGTTATATATGTAGGTGATGAGGGTGTATTGTTATATATATAGATGATGAGGGTGTATTGTTATATATGAAGATGATGAAGGTGTATTGTTATATATGTAGGTGATGAGGGTGTATTGTTATATATATAGATGATGAGGGTGTATTGTTATATATGTAGTGATGAGGGATTATTGTTATATATGTAGGTGATGAGGGTGTATTGTTATATATATAGATGATAAGGGTGTATTGTTATATATGTAGATGATAAGGGTGTATTGTTATATATGTAGGTGATGAGGGTGTATTGTTATATATATAGATGATGAGGGTGTATTGTTATATATGAAGATGATGAAGGTGTATTGTTATATATGTAGGTGATGAGGGTGTATTGTTATATATATAGATGATGAGGGTGTATTGTTATATTTGTAGTGATGAGTGTGTATTGTTATATATGTAGATGATGAGGGTGTATTGTTATATATGTAGAAGATGAGGGTGTATTGTTATATATGTAGGTGATGAGGGTGTATTGTTATATATGTAGGTGATGAGGGTGTATTGTTATATATGTAGGTGATGAGGGTGTATTGTTATATATGTAGATGATAAGGGTGTATTGTTATATATGTAGGTGATGAGGGTGTATTGTTATATATATAGATGATGAGGGTGTATTGTTATATATGAAGATGATGAAGGTGTATTGTTATATATGTAGGTGATGAGGGTGTATTGTTATATATATAGATGATGAGGGTGTATTGTTATATTTGTAGTGATGAGGGATTATTGTTATATATGTAGATGATGAGGGTGTATTTTTATATATATAGATGATGAGGGTGTATTGTTATATATGTAGTGATGAGGGATTATTGTTATATATGTAGGTGATGAGGGTGTATTGTTATATATATAGATGATAAGGGTGTATTGTTATATATGTAGATGATAAGGGTGTATTGTTATATATGTAGGTGATGAGGGTGTATTGTTATATATATAGATGATGAGGGTGTATTGTTATATATGAAGATGATGAAGGTGTATTGTTATATATGTAGGTGATGAGGGTGTATTGTTATATATATAGATGATGAGGGTGTATTGTTATATTTGTAGTGATGAGGGTGTATTGTTATATATGTAGATGATGAGGGTGTTTTGTTATATTTGTAGATGATGAGGGTGTATTGTTATATATGCAGTGATGAGGGATTATTGTTATATATGTAGATGATGAAGGTGTATTGTTATATATGTAGATGATTAGGGTGTATTGTTATATATGTAGATGATGAGGGTGTATTGTTATATATGTAGATGATGAGGGTGTATTGTTATATATGTAGATGATGAGGATGTATTGTTATATATGTAGGTGATGAGGGTGTATTGTTATATATATAGATGATGAGGGTGTATTGTTATATATGAAGATGATGAAGGTGTATTGTTATATATGTAGAAGATGAGGGTGTATTGTTATATATATAGATGATGAGGGTGTATTGTTATATATTTAGATGATGAGGGTGTATTGTTATATATTTCCATTTCCAATTGTTTTCTCTATGATAAACACTACAAAAGTGTTTCTTGTTAATTTCATGATAATACCCTGTGGAATGCATATTTCTCTATTACTGAAAGGTCAGGTGTCAACCTGCATGTATTTCACTGGCGTATAAATATACTCAAGAAAAAATAGTTGTTTTAATTGTTTACTAAGTAATTTGATATAATATATATTTTTTAACAAACAAAAAAAAATAATGAATTATCTTCGGCTCAAAAGCAAGTCACTCGTGCAACATTGTCCACTATGACTGAGGTCTCGCGAGTCCGAGAACTCCACTTCCGTAACAGCTACGTGGAGAAATTAACATTATTTGCCACATGGACCTGCAAGTACTCTATCATCTGATAAAGACATCGTCCCTTAGTCATTACCATCCGACTTCTTAAGCAACTCAACTTCTTCTGTTATTATAACATCCATACAAATCGGTTTCCTGACCATGCTGACCAGCTCCCGTTTCAGCAACATCGTATTCAATATGGCGGTGGAGAAGTGACATAGTGCTTATTTATATTCGTGCTTCCGACAACCTGATTCTAGGTCACATATATAATTAAAGTCAACAAGATTACTTTGATAATCATTTAAAATTCTTTTGTTGTTTATTTCATAAATGTTGATATTTGACTTCAGTAACTAAACATTTATTTTGTTATGTTTTTTTGGGGGACTATTTTTTATAGTAAAATTTGACGTCATGGGACCTTGTGCATTTCAAATCTACTCAATTAGACGGTATTTCAATTTATTTTAAGATGGTTATTTTAAGTAAAAATGGAAATATAAGGAATCACTGTCTAGTTTTGAGGGTATGCCAGGGACATCAACAATAGTGGGAAACTATTTCCCACTATTGTTGATGCCCTTGCATACCCTCAAAACTAGACAGTGATTCCTTAAATATGTACGTAATGAGGGTGTATTGTTATATATGTTGGTGATGAGGATGTATTGTTATATATATGTGGGTGATGACGGTGTATTAATATATATAAGTAGGTGATGAGGGTGTATTGTTATATATGTAGATGATGAGGGTGAATTGTTATATATGTAGGTGATGACGGTGTATTGTTATATATGTAGATGATGAGGTTGTATTGTCATATATGTAGATCATGAGGGTGTATTGTTATATATGTAGGTGATGAGGGTGTATTGTTATATATGTAGATGATGAAGGTGTTTTGTTATATATGTAGATGATGAGGGTGTATTGTTATATATGTAGGTGATGAGGGTGTATTGTTATATATGTAGGTGATGAGGGTGTATTGTTATATATGTAGGTGATGAGGATGTATTGTTATACATGTAAGACATGAGGGTGTATTGTTATATATGTAGATGATGAGGGTGTATTGTTATATATGTAGGTGATGAGGGTGTATTGTTTTATATGTAGAAGATGAGGGTGTTTTGTTATATATGTAGATGATGAGGGTGTATTGTTTTATATGTAGAAGATGAGGGTATATTGTTATATATGTAGTGATGTGGGTGTATTGTTATACATATAAGACATGAGGGTGTATTGTTATATATGTAGAAGATGAGGGTGTATTTTAATTGCATCCCTGAATGCTATGAACTTTTTCATTTTTATATCACATGTGTATCTAGAAAATTCAACAGAATTTTAAATAAGTTAAAAATAAGCTAGAAGTTATAAGAAATCAAATCATGCATGACCGTACGGTCCAAGTGAGGATCCAGGGTTCCCTTCTCATAAAGTTGTCGATATATTAGGTATCAGTAAAAATCATTGGAGTAGGTGCTATCATGGAAAGAGGGGCGCTTCGTTGTGTTGTTTACAAGAATTCTCTTTGATAGCAAAATAAATGTTTAATGAGTGAAAAAAAAAATTGATGAAATAGACACTGCACCATACAGAACTGTTTTAAAGGAATTCTTGACCTTTTTTATGTACTATGTTGCCAAGTCTGCTCCACTTATAAGGCAGATTTACTAGTATTATTTTGATTTGAAATATTAAAAACCACAAAGAAAGATTGACATTGTCCGTGAAAATTTTCGAACAGCCCTGGTTTAAATGCAGATAACAAAAAGTAAAACAGAAGCACATTAAACAAATTCAGGGTTTTAATGATACACAAGGTTACATAAACAGAGCATTACATTAAAATATTTTAACTTTCAATTACGAATAATTAAAAATAATTCATGATTAGTTAATTAATAAAGTAAAGAGAATGTGACACAAATGTAAAGACATCGTGCATTGACCATTTCATTTTCGGTTAATAAAAAAATCGATCGATATATTAATACTGGAAAGATAATTGACACCAAAATAATCGGGAAAGTAGAATTGCACAAATGATTCGGCAACGTTGATTCAAAATTTCTTACAATGCATGTACACTGAACAACATAAACACACATGTTTTGTAAATATATGTACATTGAAATACTATTAACAGCTAACACAAATCTCTCATTCACATTTCTTGCCACTAAAATACATGTATATCAAAAATTATCAAAATCAGTGTAAATAGCTTGGATGAGAAAAATGCATTGAAGTTTACCAGCTATTTCAAATAACATAAGTCCACATAAGACATTATTTTAGCCAAAGTACGTCGTAGTAAATAATTCTCAGTTTTATACACCAAGACATAGTAATGTTCACTCTATACGATACTGTATAGTAAAAAATAAAACATTTAAACCCTTCAATGTTTTACAATAGGTATACAGTTATATGTACTCTCAAAGTGATTAAGACTTTACACCAGAAGTAAATGGAGTTCTGTTAATTCTCTACACAGAGTATCGTCTTACATGTTTCTTCACCTCCTTGATAACTCTCGTGTACTTAAAAACTTCAAATCTTTCCAAGATATATTCACTCTTTCTACGCTTATTCAGCAGTTGTCGTGTCCTCTCTAGAACAGACACCCCCTCTCTATCTAACACAGAACCACACTCTCTGTCTAACACAGAATCATACTCTCTGTACCTCACCCTGACATTAACATCCACCCCCGACTCCAGGAGGATCCGCACCTTATCCAATAAACTGTCGTCAAAATCATACACATCAATCAGTGTAAACAGCAGGGGTCTCTCATCATACTCATCATTAGAATCATTATACAGCTGTATCCACTGATTGATATCTAGACCCACGCCCACAAGATGCTTTAAACCCTTACTATCACTTTCTAGTATCGCCTTATATAAATCTCCCCAATACTCCATACGCCACACTCGTCTCCGTGTCACCACCACATCATCCTTACTATCAGTCATCACGTCACTATGTCTGATGTTTACCAAACACTCAAACAAATGTAATCTCAGTCTGTCCAACTGACTTTCTTTCACGGTTCCTAATAAATGCTTAATAGAACTAATTTCATTTCTAATTAATGCGATATATACTATTGATATACCTTCTTTATTACTGATAGTTGAGTCTGCACCATAGATATCAAATATTTCTAGCATAACATGGATGAAAATTTTATTTATGTTTACAAAAGCTTTATAGAGAGGAGTGTTGCCTTGTTTATCCTGCATATTAACATCACTCCCTGAGTCTAGCAGAATTTTAGTGATATTTATATATCCATTCTTACATGTGGCCGTCAATGGTGTATCATAATTACTTTGTAGATTAACATCAGCCCCTGCCTTCATCAACTCTATCACAATACTTGTATGTCCATTCCTACATGCAAGGGTCAGTGGTGTATTAGCCTGTCCTTGTGGATTGACATCTGTCCCTTTCTGTAGTAACTCCTTCACTGCATCCACATGTCCATACTCACATGCTGCTGTCAATGGTGTATAAAATCCATCATGTAGATGTACATCAGCCCCTGCGTTCAACAACTCCATCACAATATTCATATGTCCACTATCACAAGCTGTTATCAATGGTGTTTTATGCTTAGCTTGAAGATTTAGGTCAGCCCCTGCACTTAGCAGCTCCTTTATAATACATATATATCCACCCTTTATTGCTGCTATTAATGGTGTTAAATATTCATCCCGAGGATTAACATCAGCGCCTGCCTTAAGCAGCGATTTAACTCCTCTCATATATCCACCACCACATACTAATGTTAGTGGTGTATACGATTCATCTTTATCAAATAACTCTATTAAGTTTCCTACACCCACATTCAGTGAGTTATAAAAATTACCATGTAAATTAACATCAACCCCTGCATTTACAATCTCTTCCACCACATCTTCATGCCCACCCAAACATGCCGCTATCAGTGGTGTACAAGATTTAATTTGTAGATTAACGTCAGCTCCTGCCTTTAAGAGATCCATCACAATACTCATATGTCCACAATAACAAGCTGCTATCAGTGGTGTTTCACATGTACTATGTAAATTAACATCAGCCCTTGTACCTAACAACTCCCTCACAAAACTCTCATGCCCACCTTTACATGCTGCTATCAGAGGTGTAACATGCGTATCTTGTGGATTAACACTGGCCCCTGCACTAAGCAGCTCTTTAACTATGACAATATTTCCACCATTAATTGCTGCTGTTAAAGGTGAATCTATTTTACTCTGCACATTGACATCAGCACCTGCTTCCATGAGTTCCTTCACTTCATTTATATGTCCACCCCAACATGCAGCTGTAAGTGGTGTGAAATTATTTCCTTCTTGATTAACATCAGCCCCTGCCACTAGCAACTCTTTTACTATATCAAAGTGTCCACCCTTACATGCGACTGTTAATGGTGTTTTCTTATTTATACCTATTCCATGCGTTCCTTGTAGATTGACATCAGCTCTAGCCCCGAGCAGCTCCTTCACTATACTTATATATCCACCCTCACATGCTGCTATCAGTGGTGTATAACCATAATGACCATTTTGATTGATATCAGCCCCGGCCTCTATAAGCACCTTCACTATGCTTATATGTCCACTTTCACACGCTGCTGTCAGTGTTGATTTATAATTATCTTGTTGATTGATATCAGCTCCGGCTTCTATAAGCTCCTTCACTACACTCATATGTCCACCCTCACATGCTGCTGTCAGTGGTGTATGAAACTCACCTTTTCTATTGATATCAGCTCCGGCTTCTATTAGCTCCTTCACTACACTCAGATGTCCGCCCTCACATGCTGCTGTCAGTGGTTTATGGAACCTAACTTTTCTATTGATATCAGATCCGGCCTCTATAAGCTCCTTCACTATACTTATATATCCACCTTTACAAGCTGCTGTCAGTGGTGTATCATACTCACCTGGTAGATTGACATCAGCTCTAGCCCCGAGTAGCTCCTTCACTATACTTATATATCCACCATAACATGCTGCTGTCAGTGGTGTAGAACCATAATGAGCTTTTTGATCGATAACAGCTCCGGCCTCTATAAGCTCCTTTACTATACTTGTATATCCACCTTCACAGGCTATTGTCAGCGGTGTTTCATAAACATCCTGTGGATTGACATCAGCCCCTGCCTCTATTAGCTCCTTCACTACACTCAGATGTCCATCCATACACGCGGCTTGAAGTGCTTCGTCTCCCAATAAAAATTTAAACTTTAAATCTGGAAAAGTCGTATAAATTGTATTTCTTTTGAAATATCTAATAAATGTTTTCACAGTTTCTAAATCTCCATTGTAACAACTCAGCTCCAATAAGCGCTGGTGTTCAGATATTGATCCATCTATGTCTAAGTCTATGAATGACCTTAAATTTTCGACTGGATCATTTGCTGCTGTTTTATTTCCCTCTTCTATTGTTGGATTAAGTAAAGCAAGTTTGAAAGAATTCAAAAAAAGTTCAGACTGTGTTTCTTTGTGACACTCAGTTTGCTCTAAAATATATTGTAAAAGCTGATTGTGTCCGTAGTAAACCACCCACCTGATAACCCTTACACTGTATTTCATTTCTGTTTTATCGTACTTCTCATTCACAAACACCCTTCTCGCATTTACTAACAACCTCTGTCTGTCCCACTCCCTGCTCCACCCATCCCTCTTCTCAATCTCCTCTCTCACACGCTCTCCTTTACTCACTACCTTAGACACATCTTTCCGTATTGACAGAAATAAAGACTTTAACTCTGAGTAAGACTTTGCTTTTAACACCTCAATAAAAGCCTGACAAACACTGGGGTGTTTTAAAATATCATTCATAAATACATCATAAAGTTCCATATTTTCTATATCTCTGTACAAACGCTCTGCTAACCTAGAGTACAGATCCTCCCCTAACCTTATACAGAGATCAAATGACTCCATTCTATCACTGTTTTCAGCACTTAAAGCCTCTTTCTCTCCTTTTTGTGAGCTTTTACAAGCAATATTTTTTTCATTTTTACTCTCACCGTCGATTGAATCTTTTTCACTTGCTTGTTTATATTCATTCTCTAATTTAAGCATTTCATATTTTTGAAGCTTTACATAGTTAGCAATGTAACTAGTACTCATAAACTGTAAGATGAGTTTTGGGAACTGAGAACCAAAATGATGGGCAATGATTTCGAACATAGAGTCATGAATGAAGGTATACTCAAAACCACAGAGTTTTGTGTATGTCCCCTCCATTACTAACAATGCCTTAACAAATTTAAATGAATCTGTGTAACTCTCAACTTCACATTTTTCTAATGTTTTTCGTTTCATTTCGTAGAAAACCTTATTTTCTGTTTCTTTTAATATTTCTTTTGATAACTTATTGCCATTTAACAGGCATAATACCAGTGTAGCATACTGTAATCTATTCTGTTCCTGCATTTTGTCAAACTCTTTTAAAATGCATGCAGTTGGACAAGTAAAGAACCTTTCAATGTTGTTCTTAAAATTCGCTTCTTTTGATACGAGTTTACACAACAAAGGAAACATTGTCGATACCTTTCTCAGTAATGTAGGAGACAACAAATCTTTATCCAAGCCATGTGTCTGAAGAATAGCTATTTTGTCGTCATCATTTAATGCATTTTCTGCACTATATAATTTGATTACGTTACCCTCATTTATGAAAAATGATTTGTAACATTCCTTAAACACTGCTTCCCTGCATGACATCAGTACCTTAGTACCTTTGATGGAATGTGAAATAATTTTTTCATAGTCAACTAAAGTTTCTAACTTTTGTTTTTGCAGTCCCAACACACCTACAACATCATCGATAACAAATACCTGAGGATTATGGGAGTCACAATAACGGTAAATCTCACTGATTTCTATAATAGGTATAACTTCGTGGCCTTCATCCTGGAGTATTAGGGCTATGTGATGAATCGTTGCTGATTTCCCGGATCCTGGGACTCCAACAAATGTCATATATGGTTGTCCCCTGACTTTGTTCAACATTTCCTGGAAAGTGTGAGTTTCACTGTAAATCAAATCTTCTTCTCTCCATTGTTGTAATTGTTTTTCATGAAGATCTAAAATATTTTATATCAAGCTTGAATGACATAAGTAAATAAAAAGCAAACAGATACCTACAAGTAGACGAAAATGTCCATGTACATTCATGGTCATTTGGAAATTTTGTACTTTTACACAAATTACAAGAACATACACCCATTTTTGGAAATATACAAATACTCTTATATGCAAAGAATTGAAAAAAAAAATTATTTAGAGAGAGAGAGAGAGAGAGAGAGAGAGAGAGAGAGAGAGTTCTTCTTTAAATTTGCAATATAATAATGATATATTATTCATTTGTTGGTCTTTTATAATGTGATGAATACTATGTAGTTGTAAAGCATCACGTTATAATAGTGATATTTTAGTGGTGTTATGTATGTTAAAAACTGGGTTTTTTTTTTGTTTATTATTTATGATTCTAGTATTTTATGTAACATTATTTTGTTGTTGGAAAGTAGCTCTTTAGAACTTATTTTGTTTTTGAGGCACCCGTCTTTAAATATGTATCAATTTACCTTATCTAGTTTCAAATTCACTTGATATTCAGTTAATAAATACCTTTTTTGACAACTCTTATTCAAAATTTATGGTTCTTTTTGTGTACTGCTTATATAAAATTGATAACTGTTTGTTTTGTTAACCTCTAAGTTATAGCATATTTCAGAGTTTCGTTGTTTATTTTACAACAATTTTGAGGTTATTCGTGATTGATTGCATAACAAAATATTCATGTACAATCTAGATACTACAGTAATCCATTTTTAAATTGCTTTGTTCTGTTGTTTCAATATCATTCTGACAGAAGTACTTATGACTATGAAAGGATTCTGCGATTTGAAGGATTAATCAGTTATTAATGAAGAACAAGGTAATCGAGTTTACGAATTATCAAAAGGGCTATTATTTAAACAAATTAATATGAAAAAGATCTGTCAGATTCTGTGATGTATTTACATTCAAGTTTAGTGGGATAAATTGAGTCGATATATATATATATATTATAATAACTATTTCTGAATATTTACATTTGCAACTGTTTCCTTTATATAACACTACTGAAAGCAATGCGTATCTATAACTGTATAAATACAGGTACGGGGTCAAGAGGTCATAGATGTGCGTATGGACAAACGTTTGACGTAATTTCTCAGTGACGTCATAAAGGGTTGACACGCGTTTAGTGGATTACATACATGCCGTTGGGTTTGAAAAATAAATCATTTCACATGTTCAAAGTCACAATCTTGCAAATATAAAGTATGAATACCAGTCACAAATGTAAATATAAGTAATAAGGTATCATTTTAAAACATCTATCGGGCTATAAATACGGGTGGGTACAAGATTAAATTCATCATAAAGCCTTTCGGGCTTTATGGAATTTAATCTCGTGACCCACCCGTATTTATATCCCGATAGATGTTTAAAAATGATACCTTATTTCTTAATTAAAATGAAACCTGCAGAGATAATGAATAGAATTCAAAATTAAAAGTCCATAAAACAATCCAAAAAAGAGCAGAGCAAAAACGGACTACTAAAACATCAGAGGTGTTATCAGGTGTCATGGAGGAGTAAGCATCCCCTGCAGACCGGTCACAACCGCCGTAGATGTAATATCATATACACGGGAGGCCACACTTGCTTCCATCTGGGTTGATTAAACTTGAATTTCTTTTAAAAAGACCAACTAATTCCTGTGCAGCTAGAATTACAAGTCTGAAACGTAATTGACACGGATCTCTCACTTTACTTACGTTCATATATCTGAATTTCTTTGATAGATGATAAATTAAAAATGTTTAAAAGATGAATATTTTCAGGTTTTGACCAGCTTAGTCCAGCTGTTGTTGAAATGGGGGATTAAAAATTTCGGGAGATATAATCAAAGAGCTTGATGTAAAACATTGTATGTCATTTTTTTTCTGATTCAATTTATCATACATTTGAAAAAGCAGAATAACCTATATATAAATATGATAATTTCCATAGTAAATATCACAATCATACATGCTTTATATATTTATACGAACCCTTAACATTTGGAGGAATGGCATGTTGTAGTTCCTTAATTTCATCTGAAAAATATATCAATTTTTTTTTTATAGTTTTCTTTTTATTCTTTATTTACCAGAGTTTGCAACTGGAACATACAAGGTATCGGAAACAAAAGCTTAAATGTTAAAATTGTAAAATTCAACAGAGCAATTTATATTTTATTCAAATTATCAAACTTATCTGAAACAATACACAAACTTATAAATGATATTTTTTTTGTGTTAATTCTACAGTTATGTATGGTATGCAGATTTGTACGTACCCTTAACATTTGGAAGGGCATCTTGCTGTAGTTTCTTAATTTCCTCTGGAAAATATCATGACAATTAGTTCTAAAGTTGTCAATTTATGCACTTCTTTATTCAAAAGATTTTATATCTCCAATCTTAATGTCATTATCTAATAAAATTTTATTATAATGGAATTTTCATTTATTTATAATATGAATGTATCATTTTAAGAATGACAATATAATAATCTCGCAGACGATTTTACATCAGACAAATATGATTTATTGTGTTTTGTTTTAAGTGCAAACATGGACATCAAAACATCAGGTGCCATGGAATTAAAAGTATATAGAATTAATTAATATTGAAAATATTAAAAGTTATTTTTTAAATTAAGTGGCATAAATTATTTACAATAAAATTAAAAGAAATAGAAAATGCACTTAAATATACATATTCACATAAAGAGCAGAGCACATTGATATTTAATATATGTTGACGTGATACAACCATTCGAATCAAGTTACTGATATAATACTATATATGTACAATGGATAATATAATATAAAGCAGTTACTGAGACTGTTCTGCAGCGATTGGTTTTATAAGTCAAACTACTAGTACTCTTTATATATGAGTGTCTTTTCTTGAGATAAGTATTTGTTGCGTTAACAGACTAACTTTGTTTTGAACTTTTCTTCCTAACTTGGAGAGTTCCAAAAAGCTAATGATCTAATTCTTATGATGACATATACTCTGGGAAAAACCAGCTAAAAGTCTTTTTTGTAAATGGTGCATTGAAAGACAAGGATTTCTCTGTTCAATATATCAGAGCTCCAGATAATATTTTACCCCAAAGTGTATTTACTCCCTGATTTTCAAATCAATGTAGATTTTGATTTTCAGCAAAATGACTGAAGAGTATTTTGTTTATATAGAAATGTTTTGACCTTCATTTTGAGCTTGTAATCGAAGTATGAGTTTTTGAAGAGGGAAAAAACTTCAAAGGTCAGTTTCTGCAATTATTCAAATAAATTTTGTAAATTTCAACAAGAATTTTTTTAATATTGGGAAGCATTTTTGTTTTTTACAAGGAAGATTATATCGGCATATACACTGTACCAGAAAGTCAGAGACACATACCCGGTAACTTTTCCTACGATATCGTATCAAAAGTAAACTGAAAGAATCTTTGTTAATATGGCAAGTTGAGAGAGAGGAAAAATTTGCTTGTATGAACGCATAATAAAAAAGTTATGCTAGTCGTTGTCATTACTTGAATATTCCTGCATGTCATTAAAATCTGTACATGTACTTCGTTTTGAGAAAAATCAAACACTGAGTTAACCTCAATTGACATCATTAAGTAAATGGTACCTGTATTCTTCAACTTGTTGTACGCAGTACTTTCGTGGTGTAATGCGTATTTTTGATTGCTAATGCGTAATTGTACGCTCTATTTTAATTTTCAATGCGTTTTTTTTTTTGTAAAATTCAATGCGTATTTCTGCAAATACGCACCTTATCTTGAGCTCTGATATATGTTCATATCTTGGTAAGGTATACAGTTTTTATCTGGGTGCATCTTGTGGTATACATATTTTTTTATATTTTAGAAATTAGCATTAAATAAGATATGCAACATATGATCTTGAGGAATATATGAGCTGGCCTACATCACAGACACAAAAAACAAAAAACAAATACAAGTTTAGTTAAATGTGTACGTTCAAAATACGAAGAGGCAAGAAAACAGATGTTATTCAGGTGACCTTAAAGTAAACTCACCCGTGTGACTTTTAACCGTTTCACACAATTCATCAATCAGTAAAAGTTTATCAATATATTTGGCCTCTATCTCTGGATCCATGGAACATGCTCTTATATCGTTCACAGCATCTTGGTAAACAGTCAAAGTTCCAATGTGTTGTTCTAATTCAACAGTAATATTGTAAATATTTTGCCATTCCTTTATAAAGTTTGATTGCGTGAGAGAGAAATCTGCTGCATGTCCATAGTACTTGTTTCTTGTCAGTCTGATTCTTTCTATGCTGGCGGACACACTGTTGTCTGTTGGATCGGGTTCTTCTCCCCATCCCTTATTGTGTGGAGTTATTTTACAGACATTACGTAGAAGAATGTATAGCAAACTGATGTCAAGATCAGAATAATCTCCACTATGCTGTTTATTTGGAAGGGGGAAAATGAGAGCAATTTGTTGTTTATTCAACGGATTCTTTATTTTGTTCTTTTTTAGATCATCAATCCAAGTTTTCACAGTTTTTGATAAATCGGAAGGTGGAATTTTTCTTTTGAGAATATCACGCAGCAGATCTGTGCATGGACCAAGGATAAGTCTTGCTACTCGTGCAAGGTTTGTGGTTTCCGGAGTAGACTTGTACTTTGATGTTGGTGTTGATGTTTTGGTATTGATATTATTCACTGATGGAGATACTTGTAACTGCAAAATTAAAGAATTAATATTGTTTGCTTTATAGGAAACACAAATATAACCCGTAATATGTAAAAGAGGAAAATATAGGGGTAAAGGCTTAACAGATGACAGGTTAAAAAAAAACTTGGATAAAGCTAAAACTGTACACATAAAAAATATTTTCTGCATTCAGGCAGTGGAAGAATAATTTCGCCACTAATAGAATTTAACTCTTTAATTCCTGAGAAAATAATATAAAAAAAAGCTAAGCTGTCTGCTCTCAGTTGTTGCATTATGTATGTAAAAATATTTTTTTAAATACCGAGTATCAAGAAATCAAACATGTTTTACATGTACACTGTGTAATTTTCATGTACGTACAAGGCATTAGGAATTTAGATATAAACATTTGAATCTATGGACAAAATGATTTAAAATTTTTTACTGACTGAAAAGAAACAAAAGATAGGCATATTATTTTTCGGATGTTTTAAGATGAAAAACCAATTTTAGAAAAAGTTTCTAATTTCAAGGTAAAAACCGTTCCTGATCGAAAAAAAATGCAAAATTTATAAAGGTATCAAACTAAAGGCAACTGCCTACCATAAGACATGTATAAAAATAAATAAAGTATTTTTTTAAATATTACAACAAAAGAGCCAAATTTAACTATACGATTATAGTATTTTCTTATTTATATAATGTAACGAAAAGTATATAATTAATAAAAAAAAAATTTATCCGCCGTGCCTTAAATATTTGTAATAGACCCGGTATAAATAACTCTACAGCTTTTCGTTATAATAATACGTGGGCTCTGTACCTTTAGACTGTCAACTAAACAAGAGAAAGTCTTTGTACATTTTATTTCTCTCAATATACTTGTTCCCACCAATTCTATTAATTGACTAAAAAGTTTGTACTTTGTATTCATGATAACTTGAGGAAAAAATTCTGTCATAGTAATGTATTGGATCTTATAACGTATCGAAAATTGATACTGAATTCAAAAAGTCACTTGCTAAACTCCATTTTAAACCACTTAACTTTTTTTCTTAAGAAATTTAATTTGGAGTCTTGTTCATTACAAAATAAAAGATAAGAGTTTATGCTATAAAAAATATTGATTGACACATCCAACTTTTGAGTACCCGTATATACTCGCCTATAAGTCGGTCCGCCTATAAGTCGGTTGTATTTTTTGAGGTTAATTTGCTGGTATTTGTCATTGACCCGCATATAAGTCGGTACAAATTTTTGCCTGAATCAGAGGACGGTTTCTGATAAATGTTCTGATGTTTTAACTTGATATCAATTAATATTTTTTAAAATTGATACGATATTTAGCTTTAAATCATTAAAAAAAAGTAAATAATGCCCTCTAAAAGTACAAAAAAAAATCATTAAATGCATGTTTTATGAACTTTACGTTTGATATTAGAGTACACAAATGATATAATGTATCAAGAATTTGCTCAACGATAGCTCTTGAAAATGTTAAAAGAATACAAGAATTTGGCATCCAGAAAAATACCAGACCTTTTATGACTCGCCTATAAGTCGGACATAGACTTTTTGACTAAAATTTTACTCCCAAAAAAACGACTTATAGGCGAGTATATACGGTATATGTTACATATGAAACAAAATAAAAACGTAGTAGTATTTTTTACCCACGTGTTGACCTTTTTGAACTGAAAATTAAGCATTTACCAAAATAGGACTAGAGGACCAGAAAATTTTTTTTGATGATGTCATGTGTAAACACTTACTTAAATTAGTCTACATGCAAAAAATAATTAAAATCCATAACATGCGATGTGCCACCTATAGCCTGGTTTTTCGGTGGACTGCCTCTTAAAACTCTTTTTTTTCATAATTTTTACAAAAGGATAAGCAAAATCAAGCTGTGAAAAGCCAGAATTGTCTTCTCTCTTTACAGGAAAAATTTGTGGATATAATTCCTAGTATATCAAAAAGTAATACAAGAACATAAGGTATCATAGATTTTTCGAGATATGACTATTTTGTTCAAAATGGGTATTTGGACGCCGTTTGAAAACTTTGTTGAAGACACTTACATGTACATCAATATCATATGTACAGTTTGTTTTCTAAAATTTCCACAAATCTAAGTAAAACTATAAATAAAGTACGCTATGTAATATTTTTCAATATGCATAAATATGACCAATTCAACCTTGGATCCTGATCACATGGAACAGATAAGGACTTAATAGCATCTTCGATCTCTCTAGTTTAATAATAATAATAATAAACTTTATTTCTCCAGAATAAAACAATTAGCATAAAGCTAGTTTTCATTGTGGTCCTGCATTAAAACATATTTACAATCACATAAGGACATACAAAGTTAACATCTTAATATAAACACAAGATCTAAAAGTACAACACATACATGTACATATAAAACATGAAAAACATATCTTTTAAGAAGGTTGGGGGAAAATCTATTTTAAGTATTGAGTCTGTTAAGGGGGATGTACAAGCCATATTGGATCTAGTCTGGTGTAAAATAAGAAATAACAAGAATGCGCTTAATACCCTAGTAAACTAGCCCAAAGTTACTCAAAGTGCTATAGCACTAATTACCTACTGTTAGAAACCAAAATTTGTAAATAATTAGGTTTATTTTGTTTTAATTAGGAGGAAATTAATCATGTTAGAACTGCGCAGCTACAGCATTCACGAGATGAAAAATGCATTGAAAATGGTGTTGCTACTTTTATTTGTTGCATCGCATCGTCTGATTAATGAAAAAACGCGATTTGGTGATAATTAAACTTTTGATAGATATTATAAGTTATCTGTGGCAAACTTACAAACTCTTAAATTTTAACTTTGATGGTGCTCATTTTTCCTTTCCTGGAATCAGAGTTTAAGATTTTTTTTATATCAATACGTACATTATTTAACAACTGTTCGATAATAATTCTAGATAAATTACTTCAAGAAACACTATATCACATTTCCTCTTTTAAAAGTGTTCATATTCTTTGAAATATTTTGCAACTGTAATTCTCTTCTACATTTAAAGATTGTTATGTCCCTCCCTATTAAGAAGAGGTCTAGAAAACAAATTTCCGTGCTAAAAATAGACCACGTGCTGCTATTCATGAACTACTTTCATGGTTCTTTACACTCTTTTTGAAGACAAGGATACATTGTTTTGAACTTGAAATTATCATTTAAAATTAAAATACTTAGAGAGATACACATGCAGATTTAAAAATATCTACTGACCTAGAATTTCGTACATTTGATTGTTTAAAACCTTTAATAAAACATTACCTGTCTAAGCATAAAATAATAAAAATTGGCATGCAGGTTAAACAGGAAAATAACAAAAGGCCCAGGGGCCACCGCGCTCACCTGAGCACATCAGCTAGGAAAAAAACACATATCAGATCAGAACTGAAAGTTAACTTAAGTTGGGGAGGGGGGGCTTGAATTTTAACCCCAAAGGGGATCATAATTTGAACGAACTAGAATCTACATTACCTGAGGATGATTCTATACAAATATAGCTAATCCTGGCTTTGAAGTACTTGAAAAGATTTAAAAAGGTTTCCCTATATATTTCTATGTAAAACTTTGGTCGGCCATTTTGGCCACGCCCTACCCCCAGGGGTCATGACTTGAACAAATTTAAATCTACATTACCTGAGGATGCTTCCACATGAGTTTCATCTTTCCTGGCCCAGTGGTTCTTGAGAAGAAGATTTTTAAAGATTTTTCATATATATTCCTATGTAAAACTTTGGTCGGCCATTTTGGCCACGCCCTACCCCCGGGGGTCATGACTTGAACAAATTTAAATCTACATTACCAGAGGATGATTTCACATGAGTTTCATCTTTCCTGGCCCAGTGGTTCTTGAGAAGAAGATTTTTAAAGATTTTTCATATATATTCCTATGTAAAACTTTGATCGGCCATTTTGGCCCCGTCCTACCCCCAGGGGTCATGACTTGAACAAATTTAAATCTACATTACCTGAGGATGATTCCACATGAGTTTCATCTTTCCTGGCCCAGTGGTTCTTGAGAAGAAGATTTTTAAAGATTTTTCATATATATTCCTATGTAAAACTTTGATCGGCCATTTTGGCCCCGCCCTTCCCCCGGGGGTCATGACTTGAACAAACTTAAATTTACACTACCTGAGGATGATTCCACATGAGTTTCATCTTTCCTGGCCCAGTGGTTCTTGAGAAGAAGATTTTTTAAAAATGCCAATAATTTTTCTCTAATTCATGATTATCCCCCCTTGGAAAAGGGCCTGGCCCTTCATTTGAAGAAACTTGAATCCCCCTTACCCAAGGATACTTTGTGCCAAATTGGCCCAGTGGTTCTTGAGAAGAAGATCAAAATGTGAAAAGTTAACGACAACAACGACGACAACGATAACAACGACGAAGACGACAGACAACGGAAAAATTCTGATCAGAAAAGCTCACTTTAGCCTTCGGCTCAGGTGAGCTAAAAAGGTAGCTGGAGTTAAAATATCTCGAATGTTTAAGAGGATCCTAGCTGCCCTCTTTTGAAGTTTGAATAACTTTTCTAAATACATTTGATTATTATTCACATTGCACCAAACAGTGGAACAGTAAGTAATATGCGGAAATACAATACTATCAAAAACCTTAATGCATTTGGTGGCATACAATAACTCACTCTCCTAAGAACAGTAAGTTTTATTACAATTTTCTTTGAAATAAAATATTTGACTAAAAGAAAAAAAACTTTAAGTATCCCTTTATTGGAATAGCTTGGTATTACTTAAATGGAGAAAACTTGAAACTTACTGAAGCGAATATGTTGTTAATTTTCGCTCGAAGTGTTGCTGCTTTTGATTTAAACCACGGCTCAATATACTGTAAAAACATTGAGTATTAAAATCTACATCATTTTGAAAGAGATAAGAGGAAAATGTTATGTGTCTGATATAGAATTACAACGTATCTTGATTAAAGGTTGTAAATGGTAATTAATTAATACCCGTCGCGCTCTCTTTTATTCAACAGTAAATAAGGAAACCCCTATTATAAAAAAGAGGAAAAAATCCTTTCTCTTACCTGATAAATCTTCGTCCACTTCAGTAGATAAAACAACAATACACCCAACACTACGACTATGACTGTCGCCTGTCCACACACGTAAAAAAGATATCGTGTCCCCTCAGTGTACATTTCAGCAGATGAGTCACGACTGTTCGACAAGAATAAATTATTAAAGCCTAAATAAAATAGATATGAAGCCAGGATAAACTACGTTTAGGGTATTGCTGTGTTGATCGTGATGATTTTTAGCTTTTTTACATCTTGGTCAGCTCTTTGTTTGTACAAGGTACATGTATCTGAAAGAAAGATATGTATAAGCAGGTCATTCTCTCTTTCTATAATGCACATTAATTTTTTCAGAACTGTAGTATAAGAGAAGCATACCACCGTTGGGAATTCAGTTAACCCAACATTTCTTTGATTTTTTTTTTTACAGCAACTGAAAGTCGTTATAGATTAGAAGGCACCATTTCCCATTCAGTGACAGAATATACATTTATTTATTATATAGACATTGAATGCAAACTCCTTGTTCTTGCTTAAAAATGTTATTAGACAGACCAATGTCTTTAACTCGATTGTCTAATTAATTATGCAATATTTACTTCCATTCATATGTCGATAAATCTTAGGGAACTTAAGGTAAAAGAACCATAAACTCTGACGCATTTTTCCATTTTTGGAGATTTTGATCGAAAAAACATTAATGGTAACCTATCAACAAAACTTTATATAAACTTGGTGACAATTTTTTTAATTTATGTAACAATACACCCTTGAAGTTCAAGATCATGCTTGTAGAGTGAGGTGGTGTTTTTTTTTGCTCCTGTTAAAAAGTGGATTTTTAGAGTGTTTCATTGGTGGACATAAATACTTAAAGTGTGTGATATAGATATTTTGTAAAAAGTACACTGGACTGCTTTCATAAAAATTGAAAATTGAAAAAGGTGACTTTGTGGGGAAAAATCAATTTCAGAGTGATAGTGTGAGCACTGAGTTGTGTTCATCTGTTTTCACCTGTATTCTATGTACCTGGAGTTAAGGACAAGTGCCCATTGAGTGTGTGTTTAGTATTCATTGTTCAGTGAACCATTGTGCTGTTTAACAATGGTGGATCAACAGGCCAAGGACACAACAATCTAATTAAAATCAGACTTCTTAGATCTGCGCCGTATACACTCTGCGTAAGAAGTGTATACGGCGCGGATCTAAGAAGTCTGATTTTAATTAGATTGAGGACACAAAAGAAGAATAAAAAAAATGAGAAAGTTTCTGGCCTACTGCTTAAGAAATCAACATTGTTTCTGTCAAGAGTGCCATCTAAAGTAAAGTCACAAATTGTATCATCAAAACCAGCATCAAAACAGAGGAGAATTTCCTCAGCAGGAGAAGAGGAATCTTCAGAAATTGACGAGATAAAGGACACACTGGAATCAATTCAGTTGGCCATAAAGGATTGTTATAAAGGATGATATACGAGGGATTGTTAAAAGTGTAGTGGCTGAATTCAAGGAAGACCTAAGGAGGGAAATACACGAGGAGTTTGCTATTAGTATCAAAGAAGAGATCGTGAAAGATTTAAAATCAGACACTCAAGAGGAATTCAAGTCACAAAAAGAACGGCATGTTGAAGATGTTGCCAAAATAGGGAAACATCTTTCGGACAAAGTACATGG